CAAGGGGGGTCCGCCGGAGATAGCCAGTGGCTGGCGCGTCCACAGCGTGTCGGCTCTCAGGCATGTGGAGCTCGCCTTCCCTTCTCTCGGGCGCGGCGATTGACGGATGACCCGCTTGGATTCGGCTCTACCAGCGGAAAGGAAACCACAGTGCCTCTTGGAGCTTCCCTCTTGTGGCAAGTTGCTAGACGCACGACTCCAATCCCCGCCCGACACCGCCCGTTGTCGACTCATTCCTACCCATTACTACTTTAACCAGCCGTTCCCCCCCTCCCTGTCAAGGCATTTGTTCGGCTCAAGTGGTGTCCCAGGATAAACGATTGAAGACCCCGGGCCGTACCTCTCCGCCGCCATGTCTGCCTCCGCCCTCCGAAGCACGTCTCGTGCCTTGCGCCGTTGCGCCTCGCCCGCCGCCGCCGCCATAATCAAGAGGCCAACCGCACATGCTCGATCGGCGCCTGTCCTCCTGTCGCGTGGAGCTGTCAGGCCGCTGTCTTCCCTGAATGTCGAGGGACAGCAGCAGGTAGGATGTCTCGCTGCATCAATTGACCACCGCCGCCATGGACTGACGCATTGGTGGTGTACACAGCTTCTCTCGAGCAACCTGCAGCAAGCCGACCCGGCCGTCTTCGACATTATCGAGAAGGAAAAGAACAGGCAGAAGCACTTCATCAACCTCATTCCTTCCGAGAACTTCACATCTCAGGCTGTCCTTGACGCCCTGGGCAGTGTCATGCAGAGTAAGCCAGGAACCAACCTCGGTAACCGCGGGACAGTATACATCTAACGCCCGGCGAAGACAAGTACTCCGAGGGCTATCCCGGAGCAAGGTACTACGGCGGCAATGAGTTCATCGACCAGTCGGAACGGCTGTGCCAGCAGCGTGCGCTGGAGGCCTTCGATCTCGACGCCTCCCAATGGGGTGTCAACGTTCAAGGTATGTAGACACACGAGAAAGACTACCCAAGGGACGATTTTTTCTTTGGCTCTGGTTCACTGACCTCCCTTTCTTCTCTCAGCCCTCTCCGGTGCGCCGGCCAACCTTTACGTGTATTCCGCCCTCATGAACACCCATGACCGCCTCATGGGCCTCGACCTGCCTCACGGCGGCCACCTGTCCCACGGATACCAGACTCCCACCAAGAAGATCTCAGCCATCTCCAAGTATTTCGAGACAGTCCCATACCGTCTCAACGAGACCACCGGTATCATTGATTATGACAAGCTCGAGGAGATGGCCATCATCTACCGACCCAAGATCATCGTCGCTGGCGCTAGTGCCTACAGCAGCCTCATCGACTACAAGCGCATTCGTGAGATCTGCGACAAGGTAGACGCCTACCTCCTCGCTGACATGGCTCATATCTCCGGTCTTGTTGCCGCTAAAGTTCTGCCCAGTCCATTCTCATTTGCCGA